CCAGGCTGCTCCCCCTGCCCTGGTCACTGCCCTCGTGTCCCCCCTCTGCAGGGCCTGACATTCCTCCTTTTGCATATTGGATTTTCCCTTTCTTTATTGGAGGGAGGGGCAGAGGGTTGGGACAGTTTTATGGCTGCTGTATTGATCAGTAAAATTTAATATAATCCCTGCACTTACTGGGTGATCGTTAAGGGGATGGAGAGCTGGAGGAATGTGTTTTAAAAGAAATATTTTTCCATTTTATTTCCTCCCTATTCCAGTTTCTGAGTCTCTCTTCTCTTCCAGCCTCCTCCTTTGCGTCCCTTCAGAGATTTTTTTTCCCTGTGTTTTCCCAGCTTTCCTTTAATTTGATTAAGTATTAGGAAAAGTTACCCAGTCTGGTGTGGTGCTGGACCCATTCCCTCCTCCCTCAGCTCTCGGGCAGTTCCTGGATCTGTGGAATTTTGTGTTTGCTGGTTCAGGACTGGCTCTGGTTTTATCCCAGCTCCTCTGCAGCTCCAGGTGGGTTCTGGTGCCCCTTCCTGTGCATGGCCATGGGGCAGCAGCCCAGAGCTGCCTCCTGACACCCCAGCGAGGGCTGGAGCAGGAAAGACTCAGCTTGAGCTGCAGATGGACCCAGATCCCCTGGCCCTGGAGCTGCAGATTCCCTGACCCTGGAGCTGTTTTTGGGGGTTCTGCAGATCCCCTGGCCCTGGAGCTGGCTTTGGGTTGTGCAGATTCTGTGACCCTGGAGCTGTTTTTGGGGTTGTGCAGATCCCCTGACCCTGGAGCAGCTTTTGGGGTTCTGCAGATTCTCTGACCCTGGAGATGTTTTTTGGGTTCTGCAGATCCCCTGACCCTGGAGCTGCAGATCCCCTGGCCCCGGAGCTGTTTTTGGGGTTGTGCAGATCCCCAGACCCCGGAGCTGTTTTTTGGGGTTCTGCAGATCCCCTGGCCCCGGAGCCTCTGTGGGTTTGAGAGGAGCTGCAGCGTGGGTGGATCTGCTCCCCTGCACTTCTCCCTCCTGGCACCGAGCCCTGGGAGCTCTCGGGGAGTGACCTTGGGCTGGGAGCAGGGGCAGAGCTGCCAGCGGGGTGGGAAATCCCTGCCAGGCTCCTTCAGCCTCACCCTGTGAGGAGGATGAGGCATTTGGAGCTGGGTCACTGCTCCCTTGCTCCTCTCTCCGAGAGCTGCAGCACATCAAGAGGCAGCCACTGGTGGAAATTATTGAAATTCTGACCAAATTGTCTCGTTCCCCAGCTCCCCCCTCGCAGTCTGAGCAGCGCCAGGGCAGAGCCAGCAGAGCCCGCGGGCGCCTGGCTGCCTGTGCTCTGCACAGCCCTGACACTGATTTATATTTCGGTTAATTGTCTCCAGCCATTAGGCTGCTCGTCCCTCTCCTCGTTAAAGATGCAGTCGCTGCTAATGGCTGTAAATGAAACACATTTAGGAGGCGTTGCTCCGGTCTGGGGCTGGCTGAGCCGGCACGGGGAGCTGCCACCTCCCCCCGGCTCGGGGGGGGGGCTGTGTGACCCTTGGGGACATCTGTCAGCGCCTCTGAGCCCACCCTGGCTCACGGGACAGGAGCCAAAGGGGTCAAGGGCCCGGGGCTGGTGTTTGTCTCATCCCCTGCTGGAGTTACTGCATCCCAGAAAGGGCTGGGAGAGGCTGCCAGCAGCTGGGAGGGACTGGGATGGAGAAGAGGGAATGGAGTGAGGGTCCAGCACGAGGGACAGGGCACAGGAGAGGGAATGGTTTGCTGGGATGGAGGGGAGGGAATGGAGTGAGGATCCAGCCATCCATGGATTCATCCATGAATCCATCCATCCATCCTTTATCCATCCATCCTTTATCCATCATCCCTCTCTCCCTCTCTCCCTCTCTCCCTTCTCTTCGTGCTGGAGGATCCCAGCACTCCAGGGCTCCAAACTGGGCCAAGGCAGAAGGAGCAGCTCCAGGGATGTGTTAAAATCTGTCTCAGCCTCTCTGCCTGATCTCCAGTCTTCCCTTTCCTCTCAGTGTCACCTTGGGGTTCCCTTTGTTTTTTTTGGGGGGTTCTCCCTGATTCCACGGGTGAACTGAGTGGAGTTCAGAGCCTGTGACCCTGTGGCTCCCTGAGCTTGGATTTGCTGATTTACACCACGATGATTTCAATTTTAAACCCGTGGAAAATCTGAAAGCGCAGGATTTTGTGGGAAGGGGAGCCCTGCTGGTGTGGGGACGTTTCCTTTTCAGAGATCTCCTGGGTTCTGTTTTCACTGGGTACATCCCGGTGTTCTGCACTCTCTGAGTTCTCAGCAGCTGCTCCGGAGAGAGGGAGTTGCATTTTCCTGCTGGATAAAACAATCCGTGTTTACACTCCAGCGCTGCTCGGGGCTCCATTGGGATGCGAGGCGCTGTGCAAATGCGAAGATGTAATTATCCCATTTTTCTCTTCCCACTCGCTGCTCTCCTGGCTCCTCTCCTCCGCCCTTTCCGGGCCTTGTGCTGATGGCAGCGTTTATCTGCATTTGTCCTCTGTCCCTGACAGCCACTTATTGATTGGCATGATTAAAAAGAACTGATAATCACTTCACATTAATCCCATAAATGACTTAAGACACCAAAATATTTGCATAATGCATCTTAAAGGTGGCAGCTAAAAGAGGATAAGACCCAAAACTGCTTGGCACAGGAGAAATGGGCTTCCCACTCACCTGTGGGCTTGCTTAAGTGATGAGCCTCGTGCTTGCATAAGGAACATTCTGCACTGCTCTGGGGGGGGGTGGATGGGTGCTCAGGGGATTTAGGATCCCTCCCTGCATCCCTTCTCCTGCTGATCCCCACCTCCCCGAGGGATGGGGGGGGGGGGAATCGAGGATCTCTTTGTGTCCCGGGAAAAGCTGCAGCCAGACGCCCGCTGAAAGTCCCTAAAGACTTTGTGTCCTAAACGGATCTGATTAAGCCCAGCAGTTAGGCTGGGCTTAGCCCCGGGGTGGGCTGGCAGCCCCCCGGGGGGGGGTGGGGGGGGATCGGGGGGATATTTAAGGCAGATCAGAGCTGGGTAATTCTGCAGATAATGCACCCTCCGGGCTGCCCTGCCGGGCCCAGGTGAGGACACCCCTGGGTGGGAGCTGTGGCTGGGCAGGGAGGGCAATATTCTTCATTTCTCTCATTTTCCCCAAGTTTCCCTGGCTGTCACCTTCCCTTCAGAGAGAGAGGGCAGGAGGAAAAGTAGCCCAGTTTATATCCCAGTTCAGCTCCCAGTTTAGTTCCCAGTTTAGTTCCCAGTTCAGCTCCCAGTTTAGTTCCCAGTTTAACTCCCAGTTTAGCTCCCAGTTTAGTTCCCAGTTTAACTCCCAGTTTAGATCTCAGTTTAGATCCCAGTTCAGCTCCCAGTTCAGCTTCCAGTTCAGCTTCCAGTTCAGCTTCCAGTTCAGCTCCCAGTTCAGCTCCCAGTTTAGATCCCATTTTAGATCCCAGTTCAGCTCCCAGTTTAGATCCCAGTTTAGCTCCCAGTTTAGCTCCCAGTTTAGCTCCCAGTTTAGCTCCCAGGGTGAGCCCCTGGTGCTGGGAGCTCAGCATCTCCTGCAAACAAACAAACAAACAAACAAACAAAAAAACCAAACAGAAAGGAGAAGTTCCAGCCAGCTCCTGCCCTGGGTTCCACCTTTTTCTTCCTCCTCACTCTTTTAGATCATTTAGATCCTTCTTTTAAATTTTATTTTTAGATCATTTATTCAGGAATATTTTGCACCTGGAGAGTGGTTTGCCAGCAAAAGCATTCACCACTGAGCTGCAGTATCTGCTACAGTGAATTGGGCTTTGTGTTCTTCCTCTCCATAGAAGGGGAAAAAAATAGAAAAAAAAAAAATGGACTAAACCAGCCTAGTTAGCAGCAATGTGATGCAAGGAGAGCAGGCAAAATAATGCTGAATTGCTGTAGCAAAGTCTCTTTTCCCAGAAGGAAGAGCATTGTTTCAGGGTCTGTTGGAGAGGGGAACTGCAAATGGGTTTTTTGTAAATAAATCTGTGCCCTCAGCTCTGAGCAACGCTGCTGTCCTGGCTCGTGGTGGGTTTCTCTCTGAGGAGAAAAACCATTATTCAATCAAATCAAACAGCCTTTTGTCCCAGCACTGATGGAATGGAAAAACTTCGGTTCTTAAGAATAGAAGGGTGGCAGCTGATAGAAAACTATCAGTTATTTCAGTTCAAGTTTCCTATTAATTCTGGAGCAGATCTGCCAATTCCTCCACTTTCAGATTTTCCATCCTAGATGTGAGTCCTGGCCCACGCAAGTTAAATCTGGCAGGGCTGGGATCAGGAGCTCTGGCAGCTGCAGGGTCTGTGATGGGAAATGAGAGGGAAACTCGGGAATTTTGCACTCCCCCAAATCCAGGAGAGGTTCCTGAGGCACCCCGAGGGAGGCAGGGAGGGAGGGGGAACCTCTCCTGCAATCCAGCTGTGCTGGAGCACACAGAAACCTCTGCCAGATGTGCTCACATGGGGGAAAAATGAATTCTGGGGGGGCAGATGGGATTTCCCTAACGTGGGTTTTTTGGGGTAAAATCAGTTCTGAGGGTGCAGATGGGGAAAAATCATTTGTGGGGGTGCAGATGGGATTTTGTTAACATGCTCACATGGGGTAAAAATGAATTCTGGAGAGGGCAGGTGGGATTTCCTTAACGTGGGGTTGTTGGGGAAAAATCAGTTCTGAGGGTGCAAATGGGGGAAAATCAATTCTGGGGGTGCAGGTGGGGAAAAATAATTTCTGGGGGTGCAGGTGGGATTTCATTGATGTGCTCACATGGGGGAAAAATGAATTCTGGAGAGGGCAGATGGGATTTCATTAACGTGGAGTTTTTGGGGTAAAATGAATTCTGGTGAGGGCAGGTGGGATTTCCTTAACGTGGCGTTTTTGGGGTAAAATGAATTCTGGGGGTGCCGATGGGATTTCATTAACGTGGGGTTTTTGTGTTAAAATGAATTCTGGGGGTGCCGATGGGATTTCCCTAACGTGGGGTCGTTGTGCTCTGCCACAGCCGTGACAGTGACCTGTCCACCATCATCTCCAACCTGCACCAGAGCCGGCAGCTCGTGATGCCCGAGAGCCAGAGCCGCTGTGAGTTCAAGAGGAGCAGCCTGGACGTGGGGCTGGCAGCAGCAGGTGAGGGCTGGCCACGTCCTGCCCTTGTGTTTGCCTCCTCTCTTTTTCCTTCTCCCTCTTCTCCTTTTCCCTCCTCTCCCTCTCCTCTCCCTCTCCTTGTCCCTCTTCTCCTTTTTCTTCCTCTCCCTCTTTCTCCTCTATTTTTCCCTCCTCTCCTTTCCCTTCCTCTCCTTTTCCCTCCTTTCCCTTTCCCTCCTTTCCCTTTCCCTCCTGTCCCTCTTCTTTTTCCTCCTATCCCTCTCTCTCCTCTCTTTTTCCCTCTGCTCCTTCTCCCTCCTCTCCTTTTCCCTCCTCTCCTCTCCCGCCTGTCCCTCTCCCTTCTCTCCCTCCTCTCCCTCTCTCCCCTTCCCTCCTTTCCCTCTCCTTCTTTTTCCTCTCCCTCCTCTGCTTTTCCCTTCTCTCCTCTTCCTCTCCCTCTCTCCCCTCTTTTCCCTCTCCCTCCTCTTCCTCCTCTCCCTCTCCCCCTTCTCCTTTTCCCTCCTCTCCCTTTCTCCCCCACCCCATCCGTTCCTTTTCCATTTGTTTGTTGGGTTTTTTTTCCGTGTTAACACTTTAGCTGTAGGAAATCTTTAAATGTTCTGGGCTAGAGATGAACGTGGGAAAGATTTCCTGGTGCTGGTGAAGCTCCTTTGGAGATCCCAGCCCTGTTTTATTTGGAGATCCCAGCCCTGTTTTGGTTTTATTTGGAGATCCCAGCCCTGTCTTGTTTTATTTGGAGATCCCAGCCCTGTTTTTATTTGGAGATCCCAGCCTTGTGTTGTTTTATTTGGAGATCCCATCCTTGTTTTAATTTGGAGATTCCAGCCCTGTTTTGTTTTTATTTGGAGATCCCAGCCCTGGTTCTTTTGGAGATCCCAGCCCTGTTTTGTTTTTATTTGGAGATCCCAGCCCTGTTTTTATTTGGAGATCCCAGCCCTGTTTTTTTTTGGAGATCCCAGCCCTGTTTTGTTTTTATTTGGAGATCCCAGCCTTGTTTTTATTTGGAGATCCCAGCCCTGGTTTTTTTTGGAGATCCCAGCCCTGTTTTGTTTTTTTTTGGAGATCCCAGCCCTGTGTTGTTCTCAGACCCTGTGGTCTGTGTGCAGGGAGTGAAACGTCCCCAGGGCTGGTGCCAAGTGAAGCAGAAAGGCTTTGCAGGGAGCACGATTTGATTTGTAATTTCATTAATCTGAGCTTCCCCACGCTGCTGCCAGCTCCTCTGGGAGCAGGATTGTTTGGGTTTTTAGGTTTTGGGGGGTTTTTTTTGGGTTGTTCCCCCTGGTTTCAGCTCCACCCAGTGTGAAACCAGAGATGCTCCTGTGGGATCCTGCCCTGGGACCCCCTGGATGTCAGGGAGGGAATGTGGGGAAGGATGGTCTGGTGGCAGCAAGTCTGGAATGGATGAACAGAGATCTTGTTGATTGCAGGATCCTTCAATTGCAGATAAAAGTTGAGGAAAATCTGGATTTTCTGTCAGTTTTTGTACTGAGTGATCCCTGCCCTGCTGGGTCTCTCTGTGTGTTCATAGAGGCCTTTTCTGAAAATCTGTCTGCTTGTGGATTTGTTCATTTATTTTTGTACATTTTGGTACTTTTTTTTTTATACATTTCATGTATTTTGTTCATGTCCTTGTGTTGGGTGCGTGTGTGAACCCCAAATCCAGAGGGAGCAGCACACCTGGCACCCTTTGGGAATGTCTTTGGAGGGTGCAAACTTTGAGATCCCATTTCAGTGCCATATGTGGCCAGGAGGGATTTGTGGTGTGGGCTGTAAATCAGCCATGGCAGCTCCCAGACTTTGCTGAATTCAGCTTTGGAGCTGAATCTCCAATCCCATCATTAACAATTTTCCAAAGCTCCTTTCCCCTGCACAACTCCATGAGCCAACCTGGCCATAAATCCATTTTTCCCTGTGACCCTGCTCGAGTCTGTGTGGCTCAGCTGACCCTGGGTGCCAGAATGGCTTTCAGTGTTGTTTGCTTTGCAGAGAAACTGCTGGGCTTGATCAGCATTGCTGGAATTCTTTGAGACCTGTGGCATTCCAGAAATGCATAGGGTTTCTTCTCATTCCCATCAGGAGAAAAGATGAGATGTAGAAGCTCTGGTTCCTGTTTCTTAATTGGTGTTGGAGGTGCTCTGGTTTCTTTACACTGTTAGAAACGGCCTCAGGTTGTGCCAGGGGAGGTTTGGGTTCAATGTTAGGGAAAATTTCTTGAGGGAAAGTTTTGGGAGAGGCTGCCCAGGGCAGTGGTGGAGTCACCTGGAGGGGTTCAGGTCACCTGGGGATGTGGGTGGGGGTCAGTGGTGCTGGGGCTGGGTGATCTTGGAGGTCTTTTCCAACCTTGATGATCCCACGAAATATTCCATGGGTGAAGAAGAAGAGGCTCCTGCACACAGGAGGCACCAAGCCAGTGCCCAGAGTGGCCAGGATGTGCCAGGTCTGGGGTGTTCAGCAGGAGCTGGTGGGGACAGGAGGTGTCTGAGGGGACAGGGCTGTGTCACCTCTCCCCAGAGCCAGCTCCACTCTGCCTTTGGGGCTGTTCTTGCTGCCAGGGCTGAGGAATCGTGGATTGCTCCACACAGAATTTTCAGAGGTGCTGCTGGGTCCTTCGGGCTGCTTTGGAACATTTTGTTCCAACAAGAAAGGGAGAAGAGCCTTGTCCCCAGCTGGCTGCCCTGTGTGCTGGGCTGGGAGAATCTCCCCCTCAAAAAGACACCCGGAGATAAAACAATGCTGAATAAATGATGCTGGTGCCATCAGGGTCAGAAAATCCTGCATCACTCCTGGCTGGGAGCTGCTCTGAAATGTTCCCGGTGCTGTTTTATGGGTGGGGTTTGGTCCCAGAGAGGGCAGGAGGAGCTCTGGGGGCTCAGAGCAGGACCCTGCCCCTCCCTGGCAGAGGACTGGGGACAAGGACACCACAAATGGCAGGGATTTGCTTCACTGCCAGCAAAAAGGCTGAAGCTGGCAGGGACGGCTGGGTTGTGATTAATTCTGCGAGGGAATTCCTTCACTTGTTGTTACAACCAGGATTAGAGGCAGCGCTGTGGTTTCAAGCGGCATGGGCAGGAAAATGTGTGATATCTCTGGATCCTGAACGGCCTTGGAAATGCAGAAAGGGGCTGAAACCAATGAAAAAGAATTTTCTGTAGTTCTGGGGCTTTTCTGACTTTGGGAAGGTAGGAAAGGGCTCAGGGTCAGAGCTGCCTGGTGCTGGGGGTGAGCCAGCCTGGCACTGCCAGCCTGCACAGGGCACAGGGAGAACCCCCTGGAAAAGCAGTGTCCCTACAAACCACGGCTGGTCCCTCCTTGGCTGACCCTGCAGATGCTCCCTGGTGGTTTTCTGCCGTGGGGAATGCTCAGGTGCTCTCCTTGGAGCTGCTGAAGCTGCAGCAGGGGATGGAAGGGAAGGAAGAGAGGAAAAGTGCATGGAGTGGGGTCTGTGCTTCCTTGGGAACAGCTCAGAGGGGCTCAGAAAGTTCCTCCCCCACCACGTTTGTGTGCTTTGCACTCTGCTTTAGGGCCTGAGCCAGCATTTTGCACCACACTCCTGGTCCTGAGGCTTTAACTCATTCCTCTCCTGCAAAAAAAAATTTTAAAAAAAATTAAAAAAAAATCCTGTTAACTTCTCCTCTTTCTCTCCTCAAACACCCTCTGTTCTGCAGTGCCAGATTTCATGGGTTTCCAGTTGCACTAGGACTATTTGCATGGATAGAAGTGGAGGATTCAGGCTCCCTCATGCTAGAGGAAGGTGGGTAGCTCTTCCCTCTCTTCCTTCTGCCCCTCGTGCCTGCAGGGAATTCCTTGGTGGCTGGAGCTGCTCTGAGAGGGCACAGAGTGGAGACAGAGCCTCAGGCAGGGAGAAAATCACCCATCCAATATTTGGGACCCTCGGCTGAGGTGTGGGAAGCAGCAGCACAGCTCCCAGAGAGGCTTTTCCAGGGGATTTTCGTTTTTTGGGAATGACAAAGCCCTGAGAGCCTGGGGAGCAGGGATGTCCTGTGGGGTCCCCACGTGCTGGGGACAGTGTGACACGTGTGTCCCCACCTCAGGAGCCCTGCTCCCTTTGCAGGATGTTCATTCCTGGTGCCTTTGCAGCCCTGGAAGAGCAGAGTTCACCCTCAGGTCTCAGAAACACCACGGAGCTGATCTGTGTCTCTGGGAGATTTGTTCTGTGCTCACCCTCTTGGCTCATCTTTGCTGCCCTGTTGGCTGAGCGAGGGAAAAAGGGGGAATTTTGGGGCTGTCAAGAGATTCAAATGCCACAATTTTGGGTTGGTTTTTTTTTCCACCAGGCAGTTCCTGTAACTAATCCCAGTGTGGATCTGAGAGCTGCCTCATTTTCTGTGGGGCTAACCCTGGGTTCTGTGGCCCTGCAGTGACCTGGCTTGGCTTGGCACTGAGAGCCAGAGCTTTGCTGTGCTCGGGAGGAGTTAATATTGGGGGATGAGAAGGAATTGGGCTCAGGGATGTTGCAGCTAATGGTGAGAGACAGGATCCCAGCTCTGCTGCTCCGGGGGGATAATGAGCTGGGCTCAGACATGTTTTCATTTAACTAAACCAAACAACAGGGGAAAAAAAGCAGCAGCCTTTATTGGACTGCTGCCTTAAATTGAGCAGAAAATCAGCACCAAATGGGCAGGCAGGAGCTGGAAGCCCAGGCCCTGTTGTTGACGTGTTTTCCGTGAAGGACAATTGTTTACCTTGGCAACGTGAGGGTCGAGGCTCTGTCACTGCTCTGCATCCTCTGGGCTTGGAGCTGGAGCACTTGTCCCCTCTCTGGGCTCTGTTTCAGGTTATTTTTACATCTCCCAAAGCCTTGCAGGAGGACTGGGAGGTGACCAGTGCGAGCAGAGGTCTTGGGAAGTGAAGGGAAAAGTGGGAAAATCCAGCGTGGAAGCGTTTCCTTTGGCTGTGCCAGCACGGCTCCGGGCAGGGCATTTTACACATTTTACACTGCCAGGGGTCAGGTTTTGTTCTTGGCTTTGCTCTGCTGGAGGAGGATTTTAGGGCCCTGCTGT